ATCCATTATTTCTTGTCAAATTGTGAAATTAAAGTTATCCTGAATGATCACTCTTCCAAATCCTGTCGGACTAATCCAGGGATCCGCCCCAAGGGTCTATCCTTGGTCCTAGTCTGTTTTTAATTTTCATTAATGGCCTTCTTGATGGCATCAGCTCTCAATTTGATATCTATGCTGAGGATACAACCATTTACTTGTCTCAATAGTAAATTCGATCTGCTCGATCAAGTCAAAAAAAAAAAAACGACCTGCAGTCTGTTGTTAACCGGGGCAAAAGATGGCTTGTTAATTTTAAATGTCTCTAAAACTAAACTAGTAGTATAATTTAATCATTTAAGAGAACTCTCTCTGTCTTACATCAGTATGGCTGATGCTAACCTTCAGAAAAGTGGCTCATTTCACCTTCTCGGTCTAAAGTTCTTAGCTGACATGAAGTAGGGTGACTATATCGAATCCATTGCTAAGTGAGCTACTAAGAAAGTTGTTCACTGTGTTGTGCAAGACAATTTTCCTCTCCAGAATCTGTCTTAGATATCTATAAGTCCACCATTCGTCCATGCTTAGAATATTGCTGCTACATATGGTCTGGAGCTTCTGCTATATAGATAGAGATCCTTGATAGAATCCAAAGAAGAATCTGAAATGTTATTGATCCTGACCTTGTGTTTTGGCTTCAGTCAGTTTCCCACCATCGTAAAGTTACCTCCACGTACCTTTTATAATAAATACTTTCATGGTAATTGTTCGGATGAACTCTTTGCTATGGTAAATAGACTTTATGAATTTAAGAACATTGGATTGGTGTTGAGATCTCATCAATTTAGTTGGTTAGATCTAACCGTAAGTTATATGCTAACAGTTTCTTTGCTCTCGATGTGGGAAATTTGTCCCGGCTTTCCCACATAAAAGGGTTGAGGTTAAAAATTTGCAAAAAAAAAAAAAGAAAAAAAAAAAAGAAAGCAACAACGGCTTCAAAGATTAGAGTGGACAATTCCCTCTTTTTAGGTGGAATAATAACGACTCAAACTCCTGCTCGGTGTGTAACAATAAAAGAAGAAAATGTTTATTTACATGCACAAAAAGGGTATAAGGTTATACACAATTATGAAAGAAAGAAAAATGTTCATAAAAGAAAAGGCTTGCTCAAAATATTTCTCTGGGCATCTAAACTTTCTTTAAGCAAATAGTAGATTGTTGTTAAGGGTTAAAACACTCACAAATGTCTTCAGAGTTCTTACAAAGGAGGAACATGTTGGAAGATATAACTTTTGTAGTTGAGTGAGTTCGTAGGCCTCGACAGAATTTTTCTCGGTGAAAGGAGGCAGATCTCAATTGTTTTTTTTTTTTAGAAGTGGGCCGACGTTCATTCTCGGCATCCTATAGTAGGTAGTTCTTTCTTGAAGCTGACTGATTTTCTGTCACCGACCTGTTGTTATCACAGACAGTTGTTGATTACTCACTGCCAAATAGGCGAAGATTTTCTGTATTTATAGAGATCTGGAAGGCTCAGAAATATCGTGGTCTTTCCCCTCCAAAATTATTATATAAATTTCCTGGTCCCTTCATTGGTTAGAAAATATATTCTTATCTCTGATATGAACCAAAGTTTTGGGAGCTGCTTTTTGGAAGCAAAGGTCCGACAAGCTGTGAGCGTTACCCCCAGATTTTATAGCACCATGGACAGGATAAATGTGGTCAAATTCCTTTTTTTTTTTTTGTATTTTCCAGCTCTCTCGTTTGTTAGAATCAAGGATTTGGGAGCCGGATTTGAAAGCAGGGGAAAAAAGATAGGGTGAGGATTAGAAAAGAGGCTAGAACATGAACTTGTAAAATATTGTAGTCGTAGTTCTCAAATTAAATTCCAATAACACTTCTCACTTGTGGAACTCCCTTCTGGCTCCATGATTTCCAGCCAATTTTAATCTGCAAAAATTTAAATGTAATGTCAATCTCTATCTGCAGGGTGTCCAGAAAATTTGGTAACGGAAGATTCGGTAATGGAAAATTTGGTAATTTTGACAAAATAGGAAAATTCTGTAACCATGAAATGAAAGTCGATTGAAAATTGATTTTAGGGCTGTTCTAGTGTGGGGATTTGGGTCTAAGCCACCCCCTTATGGAATCCTCCATACTTGCCTGTCACCCCATACGAGAAAAAGGACTCTTCCCCAAATTAACCTTTAACCAATCATCACTTCACTTTTCCAAACTCAACTTCCCATTGGTTAAAAAGGACACAAAAATGTAGCAAGTTGAGACAAATCCTTTTTTCCTGCACAGCTGTCTGGAGCCTATTTGAAAACCCAAAAATCTATTTAAAAAAATCATTCGACTTAATTCAAGTCAGTCAGACACTGAGTTTCGAGAGATGCCAGCAGACTCAACGCGTGCCAACACACTGACTCAATAACACTACCAGCCTCTCATCAACTCAACACAACTCACACTACTATTGTCGCGTGAAGAAAGTTAACTTACAATTTACTAAAAAAGTGACATTATCACTACGAAATAGTAATTGCACATTTAATCAACTTTAGCATATCAGTCAAAGGCACACAACTCTTCATAACTTGAATCAACACTTACAATTGTCACACACATACACACTATTATTTGAACTCATATAATTGACATTTTACCTTGCAGAAATCAAACTGTTTTAATTTCACAAACAAACTTAAACCATCAACATTCATTCACAAAATCTCTGCACGGATACTCTTTGCAATCGTATCTCACTTGCCACATTTAACAAGCAACCTATCATCACTTTGTGTATGTCAAATATATATATATAAATTCATGTTATTGTTGAAATCTATAATTACTTTGTTTTTCCTTGATTTCTTCAAGTTGTATTGTCTTCATATGTTCATTTAATTTATTTGTTGTGGATAAATGCATAATGTACACGCACATTTTAGGCCTTCACACAATTACACCTTCACCTTCTGACACATCTTACTTAGCATAAATTCTGCAACACCTTCGCCTATATTTTTGAAATAGAAATAGGACTATATAGTTTTTGCATCTTTAAAAAGAAATAACTATCTAAAATTTAATTTATTTACTACTTTTTTTAATTAAAATAATAATTTGAAAAGATAAAAGAACATCACTCTAACTTAGATAAATCGATTTTATTTGCTTGAAAACAATAGAGTATTGTAATTAAATAAATACTTATTTAAAAATATTGGAGTGGGGGGCTTATCCCTCTCAATCTTGAAATTATAACTTGGCCTGTTATTATTGCTGTGGGGTTTTATTTGGACTGGAACTCATGATTTTTTTAGTTAATAATTATTTAAACTTGGTGGTGATGGGGCTAGCCCGCTCCAGAAAGCATGGTCCTGGTATTGTTGTAGTGAGGTTTTATGTAGACCCCAATAGTTAATAATAATTATACTTTTTAAAAAATATTGGGAGGAAGGACTAGTCTCCGAAGCCCCACTTCAGCAAGTATATCCCTGGCATTGTTGTAGTGGGGTTGTTATGGTGTGATTAGTAGTTGGGTTGATCAAATTAAATGCGGCTGCATGTTTCAAGATATCAACATCCATACATTAAATTTAAACATCAAGGAAAAAAATCAAGCTCAGTGAACATTAATAAAATATTGTATTAACAATGATATACAAATATCAACAATAGTATAAAGAAAGTTGTTCCCCTTTTTCCGTGATAAAAAAGGGTAAGTTTAGCTAATAAATGTTGAGTACAAAATTGAATGTAATTTAACTACAAAGTTCAATTGAAGTCTTAGCTAAATACAGAATAGTTCCACAGTGTTTTATCAGTGTAGAAAGATGTAATGTTCATGAGTGATATCAATAAGAATTAGTATGATTACTCGAATGAGTAATAATTAAGAATTAAAATGTCAATATAGCGCCGTGCCTTATTTTCCAAGAATTGAACTGCTACTGGTCTTTTGGTTGATAGCGAGATTCTTTTATAACGATGGGTAGGCTCCGGATAGCTTAGCGCCAGAAATATAGAAAAGATACTAAAATACGCGATTGGTCAGGAAATGGACCAATCCGTGATTTTAGAGAAAAATTTGAATTACTTGCGATGGTTAAATTGTCCTATAATAAGTATCATGTATTTATTAACCAATGAGAATTGGAGAAAATGTAGGCGTGGCACTACAGGGTTTTATCTGGATCTCACGATTTTCAGTTATTTCAAAATATAGGGGAGGGAGGTTAAAATCAAACTGGAAGCTAAAACCTTGTCAAAATTACTGAATTTTCGTTTCCAAATCTTCCATTACTGACTTTTCCTAAATTCATCTTCTGTCACTCTTAGAATGTTTGTTTTCTACTTCTTTCACACCCAGTAACCCCTTCTTGTGGCTTAATGGCTTTAAACTGCCTTGTTTGGGGGCGAACTTGATAAAAAAAAAAAAAAAGAATTTTATCACATAAAGAAAGTAAAAGATAATTTAAATTTAATATTTTTCTCTCAAAATTATTTTTTTATGAATAAGTTATGTTTTTCCTTAAAAAAAAAGTATTTTTTAAAGTTGAATTTTTCTGTCCTTAGTAAGGATCGCCTTGGTGGCATCAACAAAATTCAACTCTTGTCATGATTCATGGCCCTTTACATCACAGCTAAAAATAGTAAGAGCTGATGGGTCGTAGAGGGGGGGTCATTTACTGGTAGGGTTTCGAGGTTGACGGAACTAGCCTGCTTGGTGGGTTTTTTTTTTCTTTGTAAAAAATCAATAGAATTGATAAATAATCAACTGTCTCTTCACGGCATATCAACTTGTTGTGTCATCATAGATAAACTTTAAAAAACTTACCTTTTACGAAGTTGATTTTTTATCTGTCTTTGAAAACAATTACACCCACCCCCTTAAACATTTATAAACGTTTGACACATCTATATGAATTATTTTCATAAGGAAAAGTTTATATATTCAGACAAATCTTAGCAGCAGGTAGAGACGAAGGAAAAAAAAACTTTCTGTTGTTGATGCAATCATGGATTTATTTGGAATTTTATACGTTCCTAACTTTATCTTAATTACATTGGCCATTGTAATCAGCCTTTATTTGTAAGTTAAAAAAAAGCTTATTATTATTATTTATTCTCGTTGGCGTAATTAAGAAAAGAAAAATCCATTTTCTTACTTAAAACAATTTTTTAAACTTATACAAAATCTCTCCGTTTTCGTGTCCTTAAGTTGGAAAGAGTTTTTCCTTTCCCAACAAAAATACTTTTGCCATTTTAAAATAATTTCATCTTCAGTCAACTTTTAAAGACAAAAAAATTTAATTGTTTTGTTCTTAAAAAATATCTGAAGTTTAAAAATGTCGATAAGGAAACTGAAGACTTGGAAATTTCGATTTTTTTTTATTTAGTTAACTAACAGAACTTAAAATTTGAACTTATCAAGTTTTCTATAATTGGGTACATCACTAAAATAATTTAATCGGTTGGCGCTATACTGTCTTTTCTTCACGTTTTTAAGTGGCCAAAGTAAAATCAAACTCCGTCATTATGATTTCCTGTTTACTTTTTAAATAAAAGTCCTTCCACTTGTTCGGTGAAAAACAGCATGATGAAAAAAGGCCACGAACTTAATAAAGACAAAGTTTTTATCGTCAAAATGTTTGTTAGGAAAGACCAAAGTATTTTTATTTAAATTTTAAACCTAACACATTTGAAATTTTGGCTAATTTTTTTTTTTTACGTTTTAGCATAAAATTTTTACAGACGTAATTTTTACAGTGCGAATTTATTGACACTGACAGTCTGATAATTTTTTTTTTTTTAACAAATTAACTTTTTTGCAAAAATATTGTCTTATGTGATTTTTTATTTTTTGTAATTTATTGAAATGAAAGAATGGAACATCATTCTTTCATTAAAAAAGTAAAAAAAATCAATGTGTTCCAATCAGCTTTTTTTTTTTTCTCTCCGAAATCTGAAGTGCTGAAATAATGAAAAAAGAATTCTAGATTGCTAATTTCCAAATTTAATTTAAATCTTTTTTTTTTTTTTTTTTTATTAAATACGTTTGGGCATGTTTTGGCTTCCGTAGGGCGATAAAGTTATGTAATGAATTTAGCAAAAAACTGGACGTCGTATCAACTTTCATAAAAATTATTTATCTGCGTGATAATTGAGTGTGGGAAAAGAACCAAAAAAGAAAGATTTCTCTGGTTGCCTAAATTGTTAGTTTACATTACAATTTTATCATAATTACTATTTTAGAAACCGGTTATTTATTTTAGGATACCGACAAGAAATGTGAGTGTTTCTGTTTCATTGATTCAAAAACACAAAGCTGTGTTTAAGTGTGAGACTCACACGGACATGAAACGGGATTTAAAAAAAAATGTCTAAAACAAATTCCTCCTTTTTTTGGCATTTTCCTCTCGAGTATATTTTTACCCTCTCCTATAGAAATATTGCTTAGTAGGACGAATCACTGGGGCTGATTCAAGAAGACAACCCTTCCTTTTCTTGAGGGCTTATCATCTCATCATACCTTTTTACCTGGTTCAATTTTGTTATTAAATTTCTCTAACAGTCCGAAAAAAAGAGCATTTTAAATAATTTAAATGCCTCCTTTGAACTTAAATTTCGGTTTCAGAGATAACGGCCTTTTAAAAAAATCTCCGTATATAAATAAACTTTTTTTTAAACCATTTTTTTTTAAAAACCTTGACACATTTATTTTTTCGTCACTCATCGACTCCTCGAATCACTATTATATACGAAAAAAATTTGTTTTTAATTCTTTTTAAAATCCAATATTTGACCAAGAGATGCATTTCGAAATCTATTAGCAAAATATTGGATTTTGTAAAAAAAAAAAAAAAAAAGTAATGCTTACCTTTTACTTAAGACAGAATAAAAATAACATATTATTTACACACGCTAGCTTGTGAGGTCAAAGGATAAAATAGAAACACTGTAATTCTACCCCTGCCTGAAAAAGCACATGAAAAAGTAAACATAAAAACCCTAAGGAGATATGGAAGACCAAGCCAATCAAGAATTTATTTATGTTTAAAAAAAAAAAAAAATTTCTTAAGTTTAACAATATTTTATTCTATATGTTTGTGACGGTTACACACCTGGCCCAGGGTCGGATCCTTTGGTTACGGCGCCAACGGTGACGTCGCTCCTCCTGGTCGCTCCTCCTGGGTCCAAGCGTGCCGCCCAACCCTTGGTCAGATGATCACCAGCCTCGCCTTTCCCGACTCGCCCAATACCTGGTCACTAAAGCAACTGTGCCGATCTCCGGTCTGTCTACCCACGCTGTGTTTAGATCTTAGACAGACGGGACCAGCAGGGATTGGGGCCGATACAAGTTGAGTCCGACGGGGTGGCAAAACACAAATAAAAGAGAAAATAAACTCACGAGACAAAAAAGATTGCTGATGAAAAAAATGGGTAACAACCCTTTATATCTTAATGTCCGTTACATAAAAACAAAATTGTTCTCATTTCCCAACCCGCTCTGTGGACTATGGCACCAAGCTTCTATCACACAACCTAAAGATTTCGAATTGCCTACTCTTTAGAATTGTGTATGTCGGAGTGTGGTTTGGTTTGACACTGGGGCTAATTTCTATCGATCATTCGCAGTTGATTCTTCTCTTCGACTTGAGTTGTATTTCTTCTTCTTCGTCGACTTAGGCTGGAAGTTCTCTTGTCTTCGACTTGGGCTGGAAGGATCTCTTGCCGCAACTTAGCCGCAACTCTCTGTCGTCTGAGGTGATCTCTTCTCGCTGCCGTCCGGGGCTGAACTTCTGTCTTCGACTTGGGCTGGAAGGATTTCTTGTTTCGAGGATTCTTTTTGCCCTGCAAAGGGGCGAGTGAGTCGGGGCCTGATGCCCGCGTTCAGGCTCTTTCCCTGCCCGCGGTCCAGCTGCAACTCTCAACTCCAACTGATTTCTGTCGACTGGGGTCCTGCTTTTATTGACGCCGCAACAAACTGGGGTGGGTCTGTCGGCGTCAGGGTTTTCTCAATAACTCCAAAAGTCGCATTATTATTTTTGATTTCCATTATCGCTTATTGTTTTCACCCCTACTTCCTCACAGTGCCTTTTGTGGGGAGGTGCACACCATCTCTTTTTCTCTCGTATGTCAGGTGACCGTTTTTCGACCAATGGTTCCTGATCGGGCATTTCTTTCTCTTCTTTTCTGCAGATCACGTGACCGTTTCCGACCAATTGTTATTGATCGAGCATCCTTTCTCCTCCTTTTAGGCGTGGTTACATCGTTCTTGTTTTTAAAAAAACAAAATCCAATTTTGCCTTTTCTGCACGTACGAAAAATGACAATCTTGGCTTTCTCTCACCTGGGCTCTGTCAAACAGCCCGCCGCTAATTAGATGTGACTTCAGGGAAGAATATTGGCGCTATCTGTGAACTGAGACAATCGTCCCTTCACCTCCCGTCTTTGTCAGACCCGACAGTCAGAAAATCTTAATTATCTACATTGAAAATGTTCCCACTTTATTATCGTAGGTTTCTAATTCTTAATAGGTCAGGATCTGTATATAGTTCCACCGGTCACTCCCCTCAACCCAAAAACACCTTTTCTCTGATTAAGATTTCGTTTCTATTGTTCAAAAAAAAAATTTCCTTTTACTCCAAATTGATAATGAGTCTTTTCTACGCAAAAGTAGGTCAGATGTTTTGACCGATATCTGGTTTTTTCATCAAGCGGCCCGTTTTGATATCATGTCTTTTCCTTTTTTCTTCTTATTATTTCTAATTCTATTTTTCCAATTGTCTTTTAAAAATTCGGCCACACGCAGGCCAAGATATCTTTCTGACTCGTGTTTTTGTTAATGACCGCTTTTTTGTATTTCTCGACCTCTCTCTTTTGCTTTTCTCTTTTTCTTCCTCTTCTTTCCTTAGGATCGTCTAAGTACAATCTTAGTGAATTATTTTCAACTCAATTATTTTCCGTTTTAAAAAAAATCAACAACCTGTTTAGTAAACCGAGTAAGAAAAAATTAAATCATATTTCTATGAATATTTCTAATAATGCAAGGTGCCACATGTTTTTATTAAACTTAAATTGAAAATTTTATTTTTTATACATTATGATTTGAAGTAGTTATTTTATTTTTAGTTAAATGACACATTTAATTCATTGCTTTTATTTTGTTTTGATTATTTTCTTATCTGTTCGATTTTTTTACCTGTTGATGTCAAAATATTTAATTGCACCCAGTGAAGTATTGGTTCTTGTATACAAGTATCTGTAAATAAATGCAAAAAAAAAGGAAAAAAAAAAAAAAACTAACGAAAACACCCGTACTGATAGATAAGAAACCAGAGCCTTCCTCACTGGGTTAAGCCATCTCTATGGTAGCCTTGTCAGCTTGTCTCCTCAGTTCTGGTTGGATTTCATCAGCTTTATGTCTATTAATTAATTAAGTGTAACTTTTTGCCTTCCATTGAAGTGCCACATTAACACCCCTGAGTATGCCATCCAACTCAGCTACATTTATATGCTGAACATCCTTTTTGGGGTGCAACCAGCATGCATCCTCCACTATATCCCCATTTAACTCAAGGGACACTCCAATTGAAAGGGAGCTTGCATCGAGCCATACTTCACTCATGTCTATTGACACATCACTTGCTTCACACAGAGTCATCTTGGAGTACTCTGATAATGACATCCGTAATCATGTTGTTGAGGTGGGTGTCTGTTACTTCATCATACCAGCTGGATGTAACCTCAAAACTTTGAGTTCTTTTGGTTCTTCACCCCTGCTTCTAGTACAAGGTGTTCTTCTCCCTCCAAAGCACTCGGGTATTGTCCTCCAATTGTTTTGGGTCTTTGCATGTCAATCCAAAATATTTTAGCAAAAAAAAAAAATTCTTTTTCTCAATTTAAATTAGTTTTTAAATGCAGCAAATATTTTGCTATTAAATATAAGTATAAATTAATTTTAATCTAATTAGTTTGAAATTATAACTAAAATAAAAGCTTCAAGAAAGATTTTTCATTTTCAAAAATTAATTTTAAACTTTAGGTATTGTTTTCCAATGGTGGTACCTAAATGAAACTCTAACAATATTTTTTGTGAAATTTGGTGTTTACATGAAAAGTGCTTTATTTTCTTTCAGTTTGGGCAGAAAAAATATACTTAATAAAAAAATACCTGTAATGTTTATTATATTCTTTGATCCTAGTAGTGTAGAAAACATCAAATAATCTGGATGTGAAAAAACTTAAATCAATTTAAGCTGCAAAATAGCTACACAGACTGCTGGGAAATTACAAAATTATTAAAATGTATATAAAATAAAAAAAATAAAAAACTATCAGTAATATTTAGATATGATTATTGGGAAGTTTCAAATTAATATTATCTCAAGCCCCAGTGAACCATACCCCCAGGCAGAACCTCTCCTTTTTGAGAGGGGTGGGGTCAATAACCAACACCTGCAACTTCTCCAATAGGGGAGTTTTTAAATAGCTTCAGAAATCCCGCACAAAACTTGACCTTGTGTCACATTTTGTATGATGAGAATGTTTGGATAAGTATCTGTAATAGCACTGAATTCTTTTCTTTTTTTTCTAGCTATGGAAGAAGAACTTTTGGCCATTTTGCTGGAAGTGGAATCAAAGGACCAAAACCAACAGCTTTCCTTGGAAATCTTGTAGAAATGGGCCAAGCTGTATGTATTTGAAAGGAATCTTTTATTTGTCATTTTCAAATCCTTAAAGAATTTAAATTTAGTTTTCTTACTTTCCTAGTCTTTGACTCATGGTGAGTGGGGTTGATGGTATTTGTTGATTGAATAATATGATGATATAAGGAATAAGAAGCTTTGGAAAGTTTCTGCAGAAGTCAGTATCATGATATTAATGGTAATATTAGCAGTTTCACTTATATAAAAACATTTGGCATTCATTGATCCAGTAGCCAGTGGTACAGTTGGTTGACATTCATAAAATCTTTCTATTAAGCAATTTTTCAGAATAGTAGGTTTCTTAAGTTGTCCACTAAGTGGTTATTGCGCTTTTCCAATATTGATTGGGGGGGGGTCCTTTCAAACATTTTATTCAAAGTACTGTGGAATATCGACATCTTCATTCATATTTTGTCTTTGAGTTACATGTACTATCCATTTTAGTTGTTGCTGTTGCTGAAAGTCCATGTGACGTGTTTTCTGTTTTTTGGTACAGTTTTTTTTTTTTGTCATTCTGTAGTGCCATTCCATGATTATGTTATAAAATGCACCCAGAATGGCAAATTCCCCCATACTAGTTAGAACTCTGAGAGCCCAAACTGAGTGGAAGTGTATTTTGAACCCTATGATGGATTGTTTTGGCTTTAGTTTTATTAGAAGACTTTAAAATGTTCCAAATCAAGCGGTATGTTTGCAACAATATTCCCAGTTTCCTTGGTGAAATAGGCCACTGTGAAGTGATAGGTATTTGGCGGACCAGTTGGTACCTCTCCATCTCACTCTCCTGCTTATTTTGGCCAAGAAAAGATGCTGAAATTACTACCCCTATCCTCATTAAAAGTGTAAAAAGAAATATGAACATGCAACATTGGGGCTTTAATAATTGCCAATAAGCGATAAGAAGCCAGAGATGACACATAATACAACAATTGTCTTCCTTAAAACACATATTTGAATATCAGAAAATGGAATTGGTGAGCAGAGTTCAAATTCTGAATTAATCTGCTGCATTCACTTTAACACAAATGCCTTTGAGAAAAGATATAAATATATTGCTCCTACTAGTTATGGGTTAAATAGCAGAGTAAACTGAGTTCTTTTAGCTTTGAGTGACAACCAGTCTAACAGAAGGAAACTCTGAATTCAGAACTATAGAAACAACAACAGGAAACCACTCTGCTGTAATTCTCAAGAAATCCTGGCAATTCGCATATAATTATGATTATTGAGAGCCATAATCATGGAGAGCCATAATCGCACATAAGTTCTGAAACAATTGGGCAAGAAATAATAATAATAGGGTACATTTTAAATTTTTAGTATCTTTTTAAATAATTTAAATTTACATTTTTATTTCTTTTTTATTTTTATTCCCAAGGGTTTTGCTCATGCATTTTCAATATGGCAGAAACAATATGGAGACAATTATTGGTAAGGAATTTTCTCTTTATTAATTGTTTGGTGGAGTTAAGTAATGACATGAATAATATTTGCATAAGTAGTTTAGTATTGTTATTAGAAGTCCATACTAATATATATATATATATATATTTATATTATATTACATATATACAGTGTAACCCGGATATAAGAGAGATTTTCTCTGGTCCCAAATTAGAGCCTGTGTTAATGTATATAAAATAGACCAAACCCGGATATAAGAGAAACCCGGATATAAGCGACTTCTTCTCCAGTCCCGACAACTCTCTTATATCTGGGTTACACTGTATTTATATTATATTATATATATTATATTATATTACATATATATTTATATTATATATATTAAATTATATTATATTACATATTTATATTATATATACATATAAAGACATTTTTATGTTTATACATTATTTTTATAGATACAAATGTATAAACATAAAATTTAAAATAATTGTTGGACTTTGTCCATTTAAAATCTCTCTCTCTCTCTCTCTCTCTCTCTATATATATATATATATATATATATATATATATATATATATATATATATATATATATATATATATATATATATATATATATATATATATATATATATATATATATATATATATAGTACTTAGTGTTGTTATTAGAAGCTGAAAAAATAATTGTTATTGATTTCCTAAAAAGAAAAAACTACATTGTGAATGCTAAATTCATTTGAAAGTTATAAACAGAAAGACATTTGAGTGATTACTTACTTCTAATTTGGAATAACAAAAAAAAATTCAATGCCTTTGTCAATGATATGTTGTTCATACTTCTTAGATTCCAAGGTTTATTTCAATAAAACATTTTATTAATTTTTCATCATAAGCAATTATTGGATTACATTTAAAAAGCATAAGTCCTTATAAAGCTACTTAACCTCAGCTTTTATCGATAAAAGTTTGACTCTAAAGAACTTACTAAATATGATATATATATTTATATATATATATATATATATATATATATATTCAACACATGGCAGAATTTTATGATTTTATATAAAGAATAATACAATTTGAGAGGGAAGAATATACTTGTCTGTACACATCTGAAAATGGCAGAAAAACATTTATAAGAATTACAGCTAGAAAATGTGAGATCAGATCAGTTCAGTGGCTGGTGTAATTATAGGGAGTCTGCCTTGGTTGAGGAAATTTCTGGTGTCTTTGCTATTCCATTCTGGAGCAAAAAAGAAGAAAGAGTTATGTCTGTTCTTTAATACTCTTGAACAACACCACCTAGTGGGCGTTTTTGTAAACAAGGATGGGGTAATACACACAACTCTGTAATATCAAATATTAATAGTAAATATTGTTAGTAATAAAATTGAAATGTTTTTTGTGTTTATTTTGAGAAGAATTTTTGCAAGTAGTTGATATATAAATTATTTTTATTATATTCAGTGAATATAATCCAGTATTTTTATTTTCTTGCAGCATCTTTTTTGGAGCGTTCCCTGATATAGTTGTCGGTGACCCTGAAATTATAGGAGAAGTCCTGGTGAAAAGTTTCTCTAATTTTACAAACAGACCTGTAAGCAATTTTTTCTTTTTTTTCTCTTTTAATTTGAATCTGGGTAAGAAAATGTCTTGCTTAACACTTCCACTATTGTATTGTTATAATATTTGTTGCTTGTCCGTGTTGGCATATTGGGGGGAGGGGATAGTCTGTAGTACAAACCATACTAAACGACCGACCCTCAGCAAACAATATCATAGAAATAGGTCACAAAACAGGTTGTATTTTATATTACTATATGTCTACACTAGTTTGGTAAGTACCAATTACTTTTATAACACTAACACTAGGGACTGGTATTTTACGTGTATGTGTGCATGCATGTATATATATATATATATATATATATATATATATATATATATATATATATATATATATATTATATATCTATATCAATAAACAGATACTCCAGCTCCCACCTTGACTTGACTGACTTGATAGCTACAATGCATTAGATACATGAGTTAAATAAATAAACTAAATAAGTTAAATCTTAACACCCCTAAAATAAAAAAGATAGAATTTTCTTTAACCCCAACATCTCAATATATCTAATTTGTCTGGACTTATAAATCAAGTAAATCAATTTCTAAAAAGTTATTTATAGCATTGCTTGATAATGGAACGGAACATTGTATTTTAAGTTTAATTTTTATGATTGAATTTGAATTGAAGTTTCTGTTTTGAAACATGGGAATTCCGGTGTTGCGATGATTTATATATTTAAAAAAAAACAATAATGTGTGTGTGTGTGTGTGTATATATATATATATATATATATATATATATTAAGAAATGGACAAGGTCCGACAATTTATTTATTAAAGACATTTTTTATGTTTAACGTTGTTATTTTATAGATACAAGTATTTAAGTAAATGCTCTGTTTATAATAAACAGTATTAAATACATTTACCGGCCAGAATGTCCGAGAAATTTTCATAGAAAATATTCGTTCTTTGACAGGATTCGAACCTGCATCCTAACAACATTAGACATAAAAAATGTCTTTAATAAATAAATTGTCGGACCTTGTCCATTTCTTAATATATGACGTCATTTGTTTACATTTGATACGCCAGAGCAGTTATGAATGTACGAGATTCATGGAAGATTGAAGTTTATAAGCAGTAAATTCGACCTTGTCTACCGAAAAGGTTCTTTGTGGCCCAGAGGTAAGGCACGTCAGCGTAAATGACGGTTCCGTATAGGATGCAGGTTCGAATCCTGTCAAAGAACGAATATTTTCTATGAAAATTTCTTGGACATTCAGGCCGGTAAATGTTATTTAATACTGTTTATCATAAACAGAGCATTTGCTTAAATACTTGTATCTATAAATAACAACGTTAAACATAAAAAATGTCTTTAATAAATATATATATATATATATATGACAAACCTCTCATCAATGGACTAATAGAAGGAGAGAGGGATGGTCCGTTAAAACTGTACATGGGAAGGGATTAATTTTGAGTTATAAAACCGCTGTAGTAACTACCAGTAGTTATGATGATAATGTAAATACTATAAACATGTATATATGGCATAAATAAATATATACTTAATATAGATATAATAATCAGAATAACAAAAATAATAGATTCCTCACTGTTAATTTATCATGTATGTACTAATGTATCATACTTTATATACTATACACCCATCTTGGTTTACAATTGAAAGGCCCTCCACAGCCGCCAAGCAGTACGACTTATTCTGCTAAGTCTGCAAATTTTGAAATATATTGCTGATGGTTTGGAAGTTTTTTTCCTGCATAACTTTTTATTTTACCTGAAAATTTTGTCCATTGCATCTCAAGTTCGTTGATGGAGGGGTCTGTAGATGAGAGGTTTGTGTGGGTATATATATATATATATATATATCATGTGTGCACACACATACACACTGTAAAATCAATTTTCATTGGATGAATTTCAAAATAATTAAGCTTAGGTCAAATCTTGTGGATGCTGTAGTGAAACCAAGACCAGAGACAGAAAGTTAACTCTTTTGTGGCTTAAAACATAATGGCATATTTTGTGCTTTTGCAATAGGCTCCACTCATAACTTCTGGTTGAGGTTTGTTAAATTACAGGGCTAAATAAATATATATGTTGACCAATGAGAAATGAGCACACCTAAAATAATCAACAACTTAATTGGAGTCTCTTTCAGCTTTGCTGACAATATAAATAGACACCTGTCTAAAAGAAAAAAGAGATAACAACAAAAAGATTCCAACAGAGAAGTCCCAGAGAGATGAACACTTATATCTGTGAGTGAATACATCAAAGAGATCTTGGCTTTAACAACCACTACCCACTACTCACACCTCTCTTGTCATTTTCACCCCTTTTACTTCTCTCATACACATTCAACTTCCTTTTCCTCATTCACAGAACACATTATCAAATGAAACTTTTATTTAATTTTACTTAAATTATAAATAACAACCTTGTGCCATCTATAAACATTTACGACTGATTTTGTAAAATACAAAACCACTAATTATTTATGTTTATATAAATTATTACTGTTATACTCCAGACTTGATTGTTTTTTTAATTGATTTATTGTTTTTTTAATTGATTTATTGTGTTTTTAATTGATTTATTGTGTTTTTAATTGATTTATTGTGTTTTTAATTGATTTATTGTGTTTTTAATTGATTTATTGTTTTTTTAATTGATTTATTGTGTTTTTCTTACTCCCTTCTACTAAGTTAATCCTAAGGAGGCCCAAATCTAACCTCAAATAAACCACTATAATGCCACCAACAATATGGGAGTTATTGGTTCTGGTTGGGTTACCTGCGTAAGGTGAAGATCTGATGTTTTCAGAGGGCTGAAACTGCCAGTGACCCCAGGAATAAACATCACTGATGAAACTTCAATGGTGTTTGAGATAGACATCAACAGCAGGCAATGTAACTTACTTAGACATTTATTTAGTTTGGCACAATTTCAGTTTCTCTTTTTCTTGGAACCTTTTACAAAGTTTAATAACATGGAGAATTGAAAATAATCATTATCTGTAATATAAAAATATAATTTCTAGTTGTGCTGTTCCTCTGAGACATCAAAAATGATGTGTGTTAGTGCAAAAGAAGTTGTCAACAACTTGTCAATTGTTTCGCCAAGGTACATCAATGTATACCTTCAAAACAATAAGAGTCATAGCTCACATCAAACGAGATAGCAAAAACAACACAACAGACATGGGAATATACAAAATAGACGGCACAAAATATGCCTGTTTATGTACATTGGTGAAAACATACATAAACCTCAAAATAGATTATGTTGTACTGGAATATCCCACACTCCCTATCACCTATTTAGACTAACTATATCAGTAGATATATATAGTGAGAACAGGATATACCTGGAGACTTGCTTCATCAATGAGTTGGAGATTTGTCTCTAGCTGTGCTGGTTGAACTCTCTGCCAGATGAGGCTATGCTGAAGGGCAGAGTCACATTTAAGGTGGTAGACAGTTACTTGACCCTGTGGATATGGGGTCTATGGGGAATTTTTGCATGAGCCTATGGGTTCAGTTTTGCCCCGCATTAAAAAACGTCCTTGTGCCACATCCTGTCCTCATGAGGAGGTAAGGTAAATACCCTTGCTTCAGGAATCACTAAGCCTGCTAACCAATTCCCTGTCTTTCAGTAGTGTATTCTCTTTTACAATAAACCTCTCTTTTATCTACACCTGTGTTGCTGTTTCTTTCACTCAGGTACCACCTTTGTCTGTTTGTAACCTCTTCAAGGATACAACAGATTATATGAACACCTCAAATGTACTGGTGGTTCACTCTAATCCATTTGACCACAGCTTTAATTTAAAAAATATCTGTCTGAACAGAGAACAGGATTCATGGAAGAAAATGCATTGAGATTGCGTTAATCTTACAGTTCTGAACAAGAAATCTTAGACCAGGACCATTCACTATATCATCGACCATCACAAAGACAAAAACAGCACACTGTGTTATAGAAGCTAGTAGGGAAAAAACAAAGCCCTACTTGGGGTCGGCTGAGTCAAAAAATGCTATAGACTCCAACAGTTCTAATATGTATATATGTGCATGTACATGTGTGTGCGCACATGTAATATATATGTAAGCAAACAAACAAGACATATCAATACATCCCTAATGAAAGAAAAACAGCGCATCACACAGATGAAGGGGGTTATATACATGTATAAGTATACAGGCATATATATAAGAAATAGATGTATATATGTATACAAGTATACATAAAAAGGCTTTATGATGTGTATATGCATGCATAGATATATATATATATATATATATATATATATATATATATATATATATAATCAGCCTGAAGATTGTATCTAGCATGAAACAGCCTGTCGCTGCTGAGTGGTGACTTCAATGTTCACTTTTATATTTACATAAACTCTATCTTTGATATTGAGCAGTTTATCCCATAAAACATAGCACACCTTAAAATACATTTCTTTTATATATATATATATATATATATATATATATATATATATATATATATATATATAATGTACAGATATATATCAAGAGCATATATGTGTAGTTGTATGTAAAATATACAAAAAAAATCTCTAATATATGTATATGCTTGGGTGGAGGCATATGCACGTACACACACACACACAATATATAAAAACAAGCAAAATGCTCTCTGATTCAAAATCTAAAATTAAAAACAATCTCTGATATAGATAAAATGGACACACACTTGCTCTTGAGTCTGGACATTGGGAAGTGATAAGGTAATGTCATTTAAATTGATTTATACTTTGCACTTTTCAGAGATCCCAAGGCATTTTCCTCACTTACAGTTTTGTTTTCTATCATTCTAACCTGAGGAAGCCAAAGGGAGCAAATGCTCTCGGCAAAATGCATTGTTACTAAATTTTCAACTTTCTCTCATCATCTTCACTTTTGTCTCTGTTACTATTATACATCCTACCAATACACACACACACACACACATAATGTATTTTATATATTTTTCCTTTATATAGTTGGCCTTTCAACCTGATGAATATGGTGCAAGTATGTTATCTTTAGCAAAAGATGACCACTGGAAATATCTTCGTACTGTCTTGGCACCTTCTTACAGTTCGAAAAGAATGCGTGAGGTCTGTATAAGATTTATTTCTCTGAGTAATTCTGTTTCTCTTAGGTTAGAAAGGATTGTAGCTGATTATTGACAGACATAAACCAGGTGTAATCTCAATATAAATTAAAGAATTTAAAAATTAATTTTATGCAAAGAATTTAAAAACAATTAAGTGATCTCATGAAAATCTGAATATAATGATTGTATTTTTTAAGAAATCCAATTAAAAATTGTTAAATTTAGCATATTCTGAATTCATATTTCAGATGGTTCCTTTGATTGAAGATGTCCTGAAGACTTTTGACAAGAAATTAAATGATATTGTAGAAAGCAAGGAAGCAAGAGATGTCACTGAGTGAGTCTTTGTCTATTCATAAATTTTCCAAAAATATTCTTCACTTCTCAAACCTAAATCTTCCCCTGTATAATAACGTATTTTATTTCTTGCCTGATTTTGATAGTAAAAGAAATGTAAAGTGCTCCCTTTTTCACACCATTAATGTTTTTCTTACAACCCCAAATTCTGTTGAAATCCTTTAATGGCCCGAGGGGTTGTTGGGGGAGGGCGGTGGTGAAGTGGAACAGTTATTGGCACTGGAAGTGAAATTGGTTTACAGGATTCAAATTCTTCCCTTGTCTGGCCACTTTAGCATAAATTCTCTTAGAAAGAGTATGAATCCATCTCTTCTCCCTCAATCTATGGGTTAAATAATCAACTGAGCCCTGGTCTTAGCTGGCAACCAGTTTTGGAGAAAGATTAGCATTTTGAATTTAGCATGAACTGAATTTAAATCTTGGGTAATGGCAACGGCAAACCATTCCATTATATTTCTCAAGAAGTCATGGCAGTTCCCAGATATAAAGAAACAGAATCTGTGGAGAGCCATGATCGGCCATATCATGAAGGGATATGGCATTTAAACAGAAAGCAATAGCCAATGTGATTCCTTGTACTTATTTATAAATAGAAAATATTTTGAAAATAATGTGATGGGCTGAAATCTTTTCATACGTATGGACCAATGCATACAACTTTGCTTAATACCAATGAAATTATAACTTTCCACTTTGTAAAATGATTGCTATGCAAACTAATTTAATTTTTTGCCCTTTTGCAACCAGGTTGTTCTTTAGTTTTACAATGGACATGATTGCGTCAACTGGCTTTGGAATTAAGATTGATTCACAGGAAAATCCTGTCAGCCCTATTGTCAAAAACTGTTACATATCACTTTGTATGAAAATTGATTCCTTTCTTTTTCTTTTTAAATAGTTTGTTTTCTGGTTATACAATGGATGTGATTGCGTCAACTGGTTTTGGAATTAAGGTTGATTCACAGGAAAATCCTGACAGCCCTATTGTCAAAAATGCTAAGAAAGTCTTTGCCGCTGACTTTTTTAAAACATTACAGGTGGTGGCTGGTAAGTACATTGGAGAAGAATTTACTCACTTGTAATGGTAACTGCCTTTATTAGTATTTTAGTCGTTTGTTACATATTGTGTCCTTCATGACATTTGATAAGGCAATTTAGTTTAATTGGTAATGTGGATCTTTCTGTCAAGTAACTAATGATTTGGTTATAAGATAAGTTCTAGTCTGAAATCCTATATTTCTGTCAGGAAAAACTTGTAAATAATAATGAAATTTCTACCTTGATGGAACCATTGGGAGTTCTTTGACTGCTTTTATAAGACCCCCCCGTCCCACCTCAACATGTCAAAATTACTACATTAATCAATTCTTTGTTCATGAACAAAGAATTGAAATTCTTTGTTCATGTTAAGGTTAAAAATAAAGTATCTTAAACATTTTGGTAATATAAGTTGAACTGAATAGAGCAATCAAATAATAAATGTTCTTGATATTGTCTTAAATAAGGACAATAAAATATATCTGAATTCACTTTGATAAAGAACTTTACACTATAATCTCAGCATGTGACTCATATCTATTCTACAAGGATATATATATATATAGATATATACTATGGGTGAGTGGTTAGAACATTTGCTTTCCGACCATCATACCCGGATTTGAATCTCATTTAGAAATTGCCTGAAAACTACACAGTGCTTGAGTGAAATTGGGCAGATGAAAATATTTGGGAGTTGTCATTGGTTGTGCTAGCACAAAGTTGCAAGTCATCATGACCGAGATTTTGAGTGTACTGGCTTTGTTCAAACTGTTGATCACACCAGGTTATGAGCTCTCTCCCAGGAACTGTAACTAAGGTCTGCTCAGCATAGTTGCAGTATAAACCACAACTGGGCTCTGTGGGAGTTAAACAATCACAAATGTGCCTAAGTAGTTGTCTGCAATAGGGATCAACTAGCCGTCCTGGTTGACAGGCATACCCAGGTATGAGCAGCCAGCTGAGTTCAATACAAGGACACAGCAGTGATCAACTAAAATTTGGAGAGTTAAAGAGAAACAGATGAGTTATCTGGAAGAGGCATGTCATGTGGAACTAGAACAATCTACCCCAGTGGACAAAGTAAAGGGTTCAGTTCAAAATTTCAATCACCTGAAGAAGGTTGGAACATACAATGGCCAAAATGTTGTGAATATGGCTATTGATATTTAATATTTAAAATGTATGTATTGAAATATCATTTAAAACCAATTCTGCTGGAGAATGAAAATTTTACCAAGAAACTTTGAAGTCAGGATAAAATTGATAATTAAAAGTTAAGTAATCTTTTTTATATAATATTAATATTTTTAGTATTATTTTAGTATTTTAATATTAATATTTTTAGTATTATTTTAGTATTTCAATATTAATATTTTTAGTATTATTTTAGTATTTCAATATTAATATTAATATTTTTAGTACTATTTTAGTATTTCAATATTAATATTAATATTTTTAGTATTTCAATATTAATATTTTTAGTATTATTTTAGTATTTTAATATTAATATTTTTTAGTATTATTTTAGTATTTCAATATTAATATTTTAGTACTATTTTAGTATTTCAATATTAATATTAATATTTTAGTATTATTTTAGTATTTCAATATTAATATTTTTAGTATTATTTTAGTATTTTTGAGCACTATATATAAAAGTAGCTGCTGTTTATTTAATCTTAAATCATATATATATATATATATATATGCTGTTTAATAAATTTATCAAATTCATCTTGTATATTTGCTTGTCTTCCAGTTGTCTTTCCTGCCTTTGCAACAATTGCCAACTGGCTAAAACTAAATGTGTTATTAGGCAACATGAGGTACTTTATTAATTTTTGCAAAGAATTGGTTGAAGAAAGAAGAACACACAAAGACAATAGTGTAAGTATTTCAATTCTCTGAAAAATATATTTGAATTGTTTTTAATGGCATTGTCTTACTTACAGAGTAGCTGGCAGAAATACTTCCCACATTGTGGTAAGACATTGGCTAGATGAAAACACCATTGCCAGTAATGTCTTGCCATTATGTGAGGGTATTTTCAATAGCATCCTGTATTAAGAAATCTTTTTTTTTGCCTTTCTATACAAATTGTTCATTTGAATGTTCATTGCATAGTACAGATATTTGGGCCTTGATCTTTGAATACAAAAGGAGTCTTTCTACTCCCAAATATTAAAAATGAGTGACGTTATAGAAACTCAGGGCATGTCCCTTTTTCAAGGTTGTATTTAAGTCATTTAAAATTACAGACACGTAAAGATCTGCTGCAACTAATGCTGGATGCTCAACTTGAAGGCCATGAAAAGTTGGACAAGAAAACTGAACAAGAACTCAAACTGGAAAATATAACAGACTGGAGAACAAAAAGAGGTAAAGGAAGATTCATTGTTATTAAACATAATTCACTAGCAAGGTGACCTGGCATGAGCTGGGCTTAAAATAATTCAGGCAAAAATGTGTGTCTCGGTTTGGGCTTTGCAGCCATCAATGTCGACATAATGTCATCAACTAGTGACTTTTTCTCTTCTCATTCTTTCCATTTGATGGAACAAATGTCATTGCCATTATCAAGGGAATTCATAAATTGCAATAATTAAATATAAAGGATTATATAGCCAACAGATGCAAAAAAGATGTAGGAAGATCTGTTTATATTAATCTGTATAGATTTATTTAGATGCCTACTGACCCCGCTTTCAAATGAGTAAATTCAAACAAATATTTTTAGAAAATCTTTTTCAATAAGTCAACATCTAAGTTGAAAGCTACTGACCTTGTATTTTCTTTATCTTTATATTTTATATGTCCATAAAATTAATCATTAAGTAATGTTCATATGTGTACTTAATTAGTCAATTGCTTCATTTATTCTGATAATTTAGCTTCATGCCTCACCAATATCTACTCAAAGTGTAAGTCTCTTTTTATAAAATTTTTATTTCTATAAGATTAACAACAATATTAGTAACAGGAAAATTTATAAATACAAAATAACAGAACCATTCATTCAGTAGAAACCTAATTCTAAGATGGCTGCCAAAGACTCACCAGCCACCATATTTGCAATTTTTTTTTTTTGATTTGTAAACAATGTGACAATTTGAATGAATGTTTAATTTGAACATTAGAAAATAAAATCAATTGTGTCAGGTTATGTCCTCCTAATTTTTGAAACTGCGATTAGATGCTTTCCAGACTTGGTGATATTTTTTCTCACCCTCATCTCACCTTATCTGCTTATTCGTTGAGATGTAAATCTCTTGTGGAGAATGTGTTCCCTTTTGGGAAACGCATGAACAAAACACACATATATGCATACACATGCACATTCACCTACTTTGCGTACTTTGAATCAAAACAGTTTTTACATTCATTTGAAACACATTATTGTTTTTGTTGCTTGCATACTTTTGTTGTTAATACATTGTCATTTGTTTGTATATATTTATTGGTTCCTGACATTTCTTTACTTGGACTCACATCCTGAGTCTGCCATGTTTGTTGTGGGTATTTCAGGAGACACATGTGATTATCTCTCAATGCATACATTTGCCTGTGACACTTGGAAACTATGATATTTGCTCTTAACTTCTTATCAATAACAATATCTGATTAGAGATACGTTTGATGGAAATAATGGTAAGTGTAGGTCAAAGATAAAAGATAGGACTTCTAATTAAGATGTCAGAGATTAATTTCTACCTAGGATTCCAGTGATACTCATTAAATGGGATCCATAAACATATATGCACTAGTTGACATATTCATCCCAAATTTTATTATTTGTCACTCCATTAAGAAAGAAAATGTCAAACTTTACTTCTTTTTTTTTTCTTTATCATTTCACCCCAGGCAGGGCAAAAAAGCCACTAAGACATGGGGAGAGGTTACTGAGTGTGGAAAAAAATGGAAAAAAAAAAAAAAAAAAGTCTTAAGAGAAAATAAAAAAAAAAACCCAGAAAGAAGATAAACATTGCGTTTAAGTTTTTGAATATCAAAGTTGATATGAAGACAAGATGGAAGAAGAGAATGTTAGCACATAGAATTTATGGTTACATCTAGGTATTTCATTTTAACACGTCAAAAAACTTTTATCGTTGTTAACGTATTTTCTTGCAGGTCTTACAGATGTAGAAGTCATTGCTCAGTGCATGATTTTCTTTTTGGCTGGTTTTGAGACAACAGCAACTACACTTTCCTATTTTGCACATTCCATAGCAAGGAACCCTGATGTTCAGGATAAACTTTGCCAAGAAATAGAAGAAAAACTTGGACAGGTCAGTCATTTTAATCTGCAAATTTGTTTTTTTTCATCCTTGTTCATCTTTAAGATATTTTTCTAAATTAAAAAAAAAAAGTATTTTACTTATAGAATTTCCCGATTTTAAAAGATTCCATTAATTATAAATGAATATCCCAATGTCTAAAGCTGTACTTGAAGTTTACCAATACTTATAGACCAATGCATGGTTTTTTTCTTGGTTGGCTTTGAAACTACAGCATCCACCTTGTCCTTCTTTGCTCATTCTATAGCAATGAATTCTGATGTTCAGGAGAAACTTTGCCAAGAAATAAAAGAAAAACTTGGACAGATTAAATCTTTTAATTATCCGAATCTGAGTTCTTTAGAACTTGGGTGTTTTGCTTTTTATCTGTGTCTATATTTCCAGACATTTTTTTCTTAATTAAAGGATCAGGATTTTTTTTATAGAATTTCTTGATTTTAGATTTCTATGACTATTAATAAATTTTGCCAATATCTACAGCTGCACCTTATCATTACTTATAGACCAAATTGGTTGTTTCCAAATCAAAGAATTCAAATTCTCTAAATATGCTGTAGAGTTACAGATAGTTTAAATCATTAAGAATGATCTTGAATAAATATCAACAGTCTTTACCTATTGCTCCAAGAAATAGGACTTAAGCCAAACCTTTCCAAAATAGAAACTATGAGGTGGAATTGGAATGAAAGCAGTGATATCCCAAATCAATCCTAAAGCTTCAAGTTGTAGAATTAGTAAATACTAAACATTTAAAATTGTCTTTGTCTTCAAAATTATTAAATATTACAACTCAGTTGACCCCTTCTTTCATCTGGCAATCATGAGACATGTTTTCGTAACTTCCACTTTAAGTAAGCAGATATAAATCAATTTCCGCTTTCATTTCCAAAATTCTCAACTGACTTTGAATGTACTTTCACTATTCCATCTCAGCCCTCAGAGGTTGAATATGCCTCTGATAATATCTTTTCCCAAAACCAATAAAATCATTGTTTTCAGGTCTGTCTTTTCTTCCTTCTTTCAGTTTATATGCTATTCCATACTTTTAACCTTTCCATCTGTTCGTTCATATTCTAAATTAACTGTTTTTTCCGTTGCTAGTGTCACAAAAATAACTTGGGTCAGTTTTAACAAACATAGAATAAGTTAGGGGTAGTTTTTCTCAACACTGCAAGCTGATACAAAACCAAGACATTAGCCTAAAAACTAGTCATCATCTTATTTATCCTTATCACACTTTTGTGTGGATGTCATGCATAGCACCAAACTTTTTCAGTAATATTCTGGTGAAGATGATTCTTTGTTTGATCTGGCCCTGACCTACTCTCTTGACTTTTGTTGAGCATCACAACTATGTCCTCTTGCCACATCAGATCACACTGTAGTATCTGTTAATATTTTTTTAACTTGTTTATTAGACATGATTCTCACACCTATTCACAAAAGTTCTTTCTTTTACTTAAATACTGATTGGGATTTATTTCATGATTTCCTTTGCAATGCACCTTGGAGTGGAATTTTTAATCTTCCTGTTGAAAATTATGCCACTGAGTTTTCCTCTTGGGTAAAAACTGGTATTGATGCCATCACGGAAATACCAGGTGAAACCATAATCTTCTTTGTTCACACCTGCCTGTTTATCTGCTATAGCCCAGAAGAATCTTTTTCCTGCTGTGCCAATGTGATAGCTCTGATCACAAAAGAGGCATCTTTTTGTGTCTACTTGCAAATGTGTCTTCAATAAATCTTTGTTCACTGACAAAATGAAGATCTATATAGTTTTTCACAAGTTTGGTTCCTGTGACTAATAATGGTAGAAATAATGGCAGCTAAGTCTTTGCCGATAGAACGAGGCACCATATAGTTTGGTTCACGTGACTACTGGTGACTAGTGTGTTAAATAAGAGTAAGTCTTCTGTACCACCTCTCTTCACTCAATTTGAGGTGTTCATATCATCTGCTGATATAACAATATTCTGATCATAAATTCTTTTCAAATTCTACTCTTTATTTCAGGGCAAATTTTTTTAACTGATTCAGTCTCATCAAATTGTAATTCAATAGTTGTCTTGAATAACCACTCTAGATTTTCTTTTTTGCATAAATGTATGTCTTCCACCAAGGGCTTTATCCTTGGACTTATGTTGTTTCTAATGTTCATAAATATCTCACCAGTTCTCTACTCGGTATCTCTATGCTGATGACACAACTATTTACTATTTGTCTTAATAGCAAGTCTGATCAGTTCAGTAGTCAAATCGGCAGCTGATTTCAAATGACCGACAATGTGTTTATGGGGCAAATATTAGCTCGTTAATTTTAACGCCTCAAATGAAACTGCTCTTTTGTGATACTCTGTGGGAACCCTTTTTACCTTCCAGCAGCATAACTGATGCTATTCTTTGGGAATGTGACTCCTTGCACCTTCTGAAACTATTGTTTTCTGCTGAGATGATGTGGAAAGATTATATTGAATCAATTGTTAAATGCAGCTAAGAAAGTTGGTTCACAGTTGTTTGGGATACAGTTTTTCTCGCCAATATCTGTCTTGCATATTTATAAGTCCCCCATTCATCCTTGCTTTGGATATTGCTGTCACAATTGGTCTGGTGCACCTGTTTTTTATTTAGAGATTCTTAATAAAATGCAAAGAATCTGCAATGTTATTGGTCCTGACCTGGCATCTTGGCTTCAGTCACTTTACCACCACCATAATGTAGTTTTCCCCGTCCCTTTTCAGTGCCACCAAAGCAAGAGTAAAAGTGATCAGAGGGAATATGACCATATTCCCTCTGATCACAGCTCAAGGTGAGAACAATTAGTGTGAAACATTTTAACATTCCAAAGTTTTTTCTTTTTAAGAAGAACAAATTAAATTTGGTTTGTTTCTTACTTTCTTTCAATTGGAAAGCAGCACAACTCTTGGCAATTCAGATTACACTGTAGCATCTATTTTTCTTTGATTCATCTATTGGAAAGGAACCTATTCACAAGCCATTCTGTTACCAGCGTACTGGCTGGGATTCATTTTGCAACTTTATTAAACATGCCCATTGAATTTATATTCTTAACCTTCTTGAGAATTGTGCCCACAGGTTTCTTGGGTTACAGCTGGCATTGATAATTTTATACCTTCTCTGAAATATCAAGTAAAACCACAATCTTCTTTTTAGTTCACACCAGCCTGTTCAGCTGCCATAGCCCATAGGAATCACTTTTTCTGAGTGGTAGCTCTAATCACAACAGACACACCCATTTGTGATTGATTGGAATAATTCTAAGAGGCTAAGTCTTTGCAGATTGAATGAGGCACCATATAGTTTGGTTCACATGGCTACTGGCAACTAGTGTATTAAATAAGAGTAAGTCTTCTGTACCACCTCTCTTCACTTGATTTGAGGTGTTAACATCATCTGCTGATAAAGCAGAATATTTTGCTCATAAATTGTCTTCAAATTATACTCTTGATTCCTTTTAGAATAACTTTGCCTGACTTTCCATTTAAAACTGAATTTCTACTGCGGGATATGCATCCACCTATGGTTTCTACTAGCATTTCTAAACTTAATCCTCACCAAGCATGTGGGATAAATAGTATTCCTGCAACAGTCTTAAAGAAATGTACTTCTGAACTAGTTCCTGTTATCCTTAAACCCTACAATAAATGTCTTGCTGCTTCTTGCTTTCTTACTTGTTGGAAATCCTCTTTAAATAGTCCGGCAAACCTGATACTTTCAGCTATTGACTTATTAGTCTTCCACCACTTTTTGGCAAAGTATGAGAGACTCTCATTAACTCCAAATTGGTTAATATAGCTTCTCTATGTCAACTGTTGACAGTTAACAAAGAGTCAAAGATTCTGTCAAGCTTTAAACATAAATGGTGAACCTCAAGTTGTTGCTTTAGATTATCTTGAAGGTGTTTGGCATGCTGGCCTTCTTCACAAGTTCAAAGGTTACGGTGTTTTTGGCTGAATTTTTTATTTGATTCAGTCTTTCTTATCAAATGGAAGTTGTTATAAATGGCCATTTCTCTGTTTTTATACATTTTTGTGAGTGTCTCCCAGCATTCTATCCTTAAACCGACTTTGTTCCTTTTCTTCAGTGATCTTTTTGATGTTATCAGTTCTCAACTCTGTGCTGATGTCACAACTATTTAGTCCTGTCGTAATGATAAGTTTGACCTGTTCAATGAGATCAAATTGACACTGATCTAAAAAAAATAACCTACAATCTGTTGTTAACTGGGGCAAGAAATGGCTTGTTAATTTTAACACTGACAAGACAAAATTGCTCAATCTCAATTGTCTTAAAGAAACTATTTATAGTAGCAAGGTGATGCCTGGAGCAAAATAAGCCTTGAATAATGACTCACTTTTGAAGCTAATGCAATTTACATGTCAATTGATGTTTTTTCTTTTTCTAGGAATCTCCAAATTATGATAACGTGCAAAAGCTGACCTATCTTGACATGTGTCTGGATGAAACATTGAGGCTTTATCCAATTGGTTTAATGTAAGTTCAAGTTATACATTCAATCTGTAGAGTTTCTGACCATAGAAGAATTAGAAAAAAATTCAGTTCAACTAAATAAATAATTTATTTTTAAATTTTTTGTTTTTTATTCCTTTTTTACAAATATGAAATTTTAAGATTTTTAATGCCTTAATATCAACAATATTTCAGATCACTTTGAATCAATTTCTTCTCTTCAAGAAGCAGTCCTGGTTTGGTTTCGTTTGTTTTGTTTTACAGCATATCAACCTCAATGGGTCATTTAATGCTTTTTTTTTTTCCTGGTAATTTTTTTGTTTTGTCAAACATTTATTTCTGTTAATATTATTTTCCTCAAAAACGTATAGCTGGTAACATTATTTTTTCAAAAATGTATTATCAGAGGCCTTGCTGTTGGACGTAGTTTATTATCTTACCCAGGATGCAGATATAGTTTATCGTCATACCCAGGATGCGAAGCCTCATGTCCTGGGTATGACGATAGGCTACTTCTGGCAGCAAAGCCTTTGATTTGAGAATTTGAGGTTTTGAGGAGTGTGGAACCACTTCCTTAATTGCTGTTGTTCCCAGGTCCACTCTAACCTAGGGTAGTAGCACTTGTTAGGGTCCAGCTATAGGCAAATAGTGACCCCCACCCCCAAACAAAAGCAAATCATTATGAAAGTATAAAAATACATTTTTATAGTATAAAAGCAATACATTTTTATATAAAAAAATTACTAACAATATATATTTATAGTAAAATGACTAAGAATACATTTTTAAAGCAATAACCGACAATTCATTTTATAGTAGAATTAACAACAATATATTTTACGGCAAAATGACAAACAATACATTTTATCTGTAGTTGAAGACATACAATTATATTCCAAATATATTTAGTTGAAGCCATAAAATTGTGTTCAAAATATTTAGATTTCACATTAAATAACCCATCAAGGTGTTGATATGACCCTAAATAAAATCAACCAACCAGCTCTTCAGAAGGCATTCTTAAAAAAAGACTGTTCTTGTTTAAAAAAGAACATTCTCTCCTTCAAAAGTTACAATCAGACTAGTTCTTTCCTCATGCCTTATACTTCTTGCTAATTGTTTACTAAAAAAAAATGTGTATTTTAAAAGTTATATATATCTCATATTTTAAAAGTTATATATATCTCATATTTTTTTCTTTTTGTGAGTATCCAACAGAACTTAATAAAAAGAAAAGGGTCAAAAAGAAACTTTAAACAAAACTGCTTCTGTTTACTGTTTCTTAATTAAAGATCCTTTTGTTATTGGCTTATCTGCAAGACCTATTTCCACAGTCCTTATTTCGGGAAGAGTATTCAGTATATGAATGTGCAAAGGGGACATAATGAGTTTAAGGAATTCTTTAGAACAATTATAAATAAAATTAGATTCTGGCTGAGGACATTTAACTAACCAGCCACTGTACAAATATTAATTCATATCAAATATACAGATGTGAGAGTAAATAAGTTTCCTGGAGTGGGTAGCCCCACTCAACACCGTGCAATTGGCTTGCATCATGAACTACATATCATGATTTCCAAGTAACCATTCACCACTGAGACATATATATATATATATATATATATATATATATATATATATATATATATCCAAGTATATGATTGGTGTATATGGAATAAATTCCAATAACCAACAATTACTATTCTTAAAAGAGTGCTCAATACAGAGTAGAGCGAATATAATTATTTATTTAAGAATTATAACATAAATATGTTATAAAATCAATAAAAAATAGCCATTTTGTTTCAACACCTCTGTCTTATCAAGTGATGATATTAAATGTAGATTGTACATTCAACATTATCACTTGATAAGACACCAGAGGTGTTGAAACAAAATGGCTATTTTTGTAGTGATTTAATAACATATTTATGTTATAAGTTTTAAATAAATAATTATATATATATATATATATATATATATATATATATATATATACACAAACACATAGAGGGTGCATCAAAAATACTTTTACAAACTTTGGGGGTGCGTTTCACACACCAAAACAAGATAAAAATCCATATAAATCATGTCCACTAATCCTCCATTTATGGAAAATATACGGAAAAACAAAAATCTGAATATGCAATTATGCTGTTTTAATGTTAATTTAATGTTGACCTCAGACGTTTCGGTCTAGTAGACCTTCTTCAGGACATAGTTATTAAAGTTTGAAGAATAAGAAAGGATGTTTCAGGATATAGTTATTAAAACATAATTAACTATGTCCTGAAGAAGGTCTACTAGACTGAAGCGTCTGACATCGACATTAAGTTAACATTAAAACAGCATAATTCATATTTGGATTTTTGTTTTTCTGTATATTTTTCTTCATATTGTCGGATCTCTATCCATATATTTGCTTATATATATATATATATATATATATATATATATATATATATATATGTAAGGAAGAGGTTATCGTAGTTCCAATGAGAGAAAAGCGTGTATATTAAAAGGAGGGAGAAATCGCAAACATTTTTGGTTATAATGTGGATTTTTTTAAAAAAATATTATGCTTTATTTTCCATAATTTTGCAAAATTATGGAAAATAAAGCATAATATTTTTTTTAAAAATCCACATTACAACCAAAAACGTTTGTGGTTTCTCTCTGAGTTTTAATCATATATATATATATATATATATATATATATATATATATATATATATATATATACGGCCTGAAGATTACATTTAAACATGAAACTGTGCTACTGAGTGTTGACCTCAAAGTCCACTTTTATATTTACATACGCTCTATCCCTGATATTGAGCACTTTGATCAATAAATATAGATTCTTAAAACAATATTTTTTTATAATTATATATATATATATATATATATATATATATATATGTATTTGTGTGTGTGATTTATTTAAGCATACACACATTCCTTTTGTTTTTTAATCTTGTTAAGTGTAATAAGGGTGAAACAGCCTTTCTTATTCTTCAAACTTTTATTTTATACACATAACACACACACACACACACACACATATATATAATTTTTATACATCAAGAACAATCTTGGGGAAAAGTTTGATAACAAAGTGGAAAAATTTTTGTGTCATCCTTCATCAAACAAAGATTTTTAAAATTCCTTACATCACTGATTAGTACACATGTATGGTCATATCAATGTAAACAAATTTAGTCCAGGGTATATATATATATATATATATATATATATATATAAATATAAAATAAAAGTGAACATAGAAGTCAACACTTAGAGGCAACAGTCTGTTTCATGCTGGATGCAATCGTCAGGCATGTAACAGACTGTCATCTCTAAGTGTTGACTTCTATGTTCACTTTTATATTTACACAAGCTCTATCTCTGATATTGAGCACTTTATCCCATAAATATAGCACATCTTAAGACTACATTTCTTCATATATATTATATTATATGGTACTTTACTTTTCCATTAATTATTCTGTAAGAAATATAAATTGTGATATGGTGTTAAACTGGGAAAATCATATTGAAAAAAAAAACACATAATTAAGTTGCACTTAATTTTTTGGCAGGGAGGAGGGACAAATGATTTCTATCATTTTACAAAATGTACTTAAAGGTGTAGTGTGAATATTATTTTTGTTGGATAAAATTCTGGTTCTCCAGGTTTTGAAATGATCTTTAACTGGTAATTCTTATGTAATTTTAATTTATCGCAGTAGAAATTTAAAAATTTTTTATTGATGGCATTTATGTGATTTTTCATCTATGAAATCTTTTAACAATTTTCTTCATTTTCCTTTCTTTTTTGTCAGGTTAATAAGAGAAGCTAAGGAAGATTGTATCATAAAAGGACTGAAAATTCCAAAGAATACAGGAATTCTAGTTTCTGCTATGGCATTACATTATGATCCCAGATATTGGCCCGAACCTGAAAAATTTGACCCTGAACGGTTAGTGTCAGTAGCTGGGTTGAAGCTTTTTTTTTCTAACAGTCTTTGAATTGGAAACAGTTTTTGGCAGTTAGAGAAATAAAGAAAGTCGTATAACTTAAAATTAATATTTTGGGGAAAAAACAATTGGCAGATATTGAATAAGTTCACCTAGTACAAAGCTTATGCAGTGTGTAATATGAATGAAGATTATTGATTTGGTGAGGTTAGGGTTTTAGTACTCGGGGAACAATCACTCGAGTGTCTGTTCCACAAAGTAGCGAATCTTGAGTAAAGGCTGTCAGAGTGGAACTCTCTCTTTCCATTTGGAATATGGGAGGAAATGACACTGATTTGACTTGGTCGAGGCAGCAAGACATGGTCTAAAGAATAAAGCTAATCTGATCATTTGCCATGGAAATAGTGACAGAGTAGTGAGAGGCTTGTTATGTTGCATCTGGGGAAAGGGGCTGTAGGTTGAAAATAAGAAATCTCTCACAAGACCACATAATCAATTGATACTGTAAACTAACAACTGACCAATTCCAGCTCATATGCCACTGCAGTACTCGATTTTTGTGTCTAATTTGAATCTTGTAAAGATAAAGGTAGGAGGAGTCAGGTATTTCTTGGAGTAGTACCAGGAATCAACCATTTTTCCAGCATCATGAAGGTTTATTGAAATTGTAAAGAGAAAAATGATTTGATTTCTTTGCTATTTTTTCTTACTTCTCATTGAGACTTATGTTTCACCATCAATGACTCTACTTGAAATTATAAATATCAATAGACTTTCGTGTCTTTGTTTTCCTCCAGAGTTAGTTAAAAAATGGACATGTGTTCCAATAGAACCTTTCTCGTGTTGTCATCTTGTTTCATTTTATATAGGTGTCTGCAATCTTCTTTTAAATGAAATTAATTTCTCATACCCTCTTCAAAATGAATTGAATACTTCATTAATTATATTACTTAGGTCTTATACTAAATCCATTCAAGTGAATTCTCATCAAACCCAAATAATTATTTTTCTATGTCAATCCTTACAATTCAGCATTTTATATAAATACGTAGTGAACATGAAAGAGAATAGAAGTTAAGAATAAAGAAAAAAATGGATATTTTTAAAACTGTTCCATGTGGAATGTTGTGTTTTATATGGAGTTTTTATTTTGTTATAATCTTGTTTCATTTCATATGAATGTCTCCACCATTCTATTAACTGAAGAAATTAAATTTCTCACATTCAAACCATGGATATACAAGAATAGAGGAAATGGTTATGAACAGGCTTCACATATAACCCTCCCACAGATTTAAAAAATGAAAAACAAATTGATGTGTGACTAAAGCCATTCACTGTATGTCACATCTTGATAAGATATGACGACCTCAGCCTGACACAACTCTGATATTATCAAGTAATAATTAAATAACAAATTATTAACAAAAATAATTTGATAGAATTTTGTTGAATAATTCCTTTAAACACAAATTCTTACAAAAACTTCAACCATATAACAAGATGTAACTCCTTATACTTACATTTGTATACATGTATAGGTGTCTATATAAAATTAGTTTTTAGTTTTAAACCTTTGTGACATTATATATCATCTGGTTTTGAAGTGTTGTTAAATACAATAAAAATAAATGCATCCACTCACATTCAGGGAACATATGAAAAAAAAATGGAGGCATTTTTCTTTTATCAATTCTTACAGTTGAGCATTTGATATAAATATCTAGAATATATGAAAGAGAATAGATTGAACTCTTTAATGCTTATGTCCTTCCATAACATTTCTATCATTATATTACATTATAACTCATTCCTAGCAGTTTATAATGTCTTGCTTAGGCACTCACCATGATGTCTGTTAGAAATTCTCCTTAACTGACTCCAACAGACTTCTGTGACTCACTTGGAATTCTTTATTTAAGGCATCTTGCCTACTTCATTTGTGTTACTGAGGATATTTTATTTACTCCATAACATAACCCCTTTTGAGATTGTTTTTTGTTTTTTTTATTAGCAAATATATTATTTCATTTCATAGTATTCATCTCCTCTTTCTGGCAAGTTCAGCAGCAGACTGAACTTTGTATTTTTTTTAGTTTTAGGTCAATCTCTAGTTTTTCTATACATTGCCTTATATACATATCATTTTTCCAATTTTTGACCTTATTAAGCCATCTTCCCACATTTTTTTTTCCATTTTTATATACTCTGAAAAACACCTTTTCACCAATTTTGAAAAATGTTCTTTTTGTTATCTATTCTTATTCCTTTTTGACATGGTAACAACTTGTCAAACACTGATTCAATTTTTCTTGCGAATATCAATTCTGCCAGTGACATGCCTGTTGGTGTATTTGGATTTGGCATCATCCAGTATACTCTCAAGTATTGTTGTAGTGCTTTTTCACTAACTTTTTTCATTACTTGCTTTTTTCAAAGCAGTACCCCAAAACTGTTCAGCATGTTCGTTTGATCTCTGGTGATATGGTGGGGTAGTAATATCTTCAATCAAGAGCATTTTACAAAATTCTTTAAATTTATAAGGAGTGAATTGTGGCCTGTTATCTGAGACTATGGCATGTGGAATGCCATATCTTGCAAACAGTTTGTGTAAAAAATTCACTGTAAGTTGTTTTTTTTTTTTTTGCACTTACAAATTTCAGGCCACTTAAGTAAAGCTATCCACTACCACAAGATATTGTGATCCATTTATTGAACTTGCGAAATCTAGGTGCAGTCTGGACCACAGAGTATGTCTTTGGCTAAGGTTGTATTTTCGTGGTAGGTGATTTTGCTGCCAGAGCACAACCTCTGCAGGCTTTTACTGATTTATCAATGTCTTGATCCAATTTGGTCAAGTATACATAGCTTCTCATAAGAGATTTGATCCTTGAAATTTCTGGATGTCCACTATGAAATTCCTTTATTATCCACTTTTGTAATAGGATAGATATTACTACTCTTTTACATTAGTATTCTGTCAAATAGCAAGTAAGAATTCAAGTCTGGATTTTTTTCTAAAAATCGTCTTTCTTTCTTACTTTCTTTTAGCTGTTTTTTTATTTTCCAAATAAACATGTCTTGTTCTACTTTTACTTTTATTTCTTCCAGTGTAACTTGTAGTTCACATAATACATTGCATAATAGATTTTTAATTTCTATTTCACTTTTTAATGCAGCAATAACAGTGTCCTGAAATGGTTTACTATTTTTTGGTATCAATCTTAATAAACCACCATTTTTTCTACCATTTAAATTTGCAAAAATTTCCTCTGGAATTAGTAATGGGTAGTTATGGGATTCTAAACATTTGTTTAACCCTGTTGAAAAATCAGTACAAACATGATTTTTGTTACTTTTTTTTCTTTATGGCCTAGTGCAGTCATTCTTTTCAATTACACCTATTTTTTTCAGGTCTATCTAAATTTTCAGTAACTTAATCAAATGCTGCAAATGGTACACTACATTTCAGTTTAAACACTGGTGTCAACCATTTTTTCGCTTAAAATTTCACTTTGATATTGGAACACAAACTCAACTCATCCAACAGAACATCTAGAAAACATTTTTTTCAATTGTCCTTTTTAAATTTTCACACATTTTTAAACTGGTAGCTTGTACACTTACATTTTTGCTATAAATATTTATCAGTAAATCCCACAACTCAAATAATTCCATCCAGTCAGTACCGAATAAGTTCGTAGTATTTTTTAACACATAAACTTTGGATTTTACACATTTGTTGTGAAAAGGAAATTACAAGTCATTTCACCAATAAAAAAAATATTTTCTCACTCAACATGTGACACGTGATTTTCAAAGTTCTTTTTAATGTAGGTTTTCTGTTTGCTTTTCATGTGGTTTTGTCAATTATTTTGATATCACTGCTTGTGTGTAGTTGCATTTTTACATCCACATTATTAATTTTCACATACACAAATGATCTTTGGTTTTGTGTAATTATTTTTTCCATTGCAAAGCTATGAATTTTTTTCTGAGAACATTTCCTTTCTTTATTTTTACTGTGTGACTTTTTATGTCCTACTTTTCCACACTTGTAGCATTTTGAATTTTTAAAGGGACAGTTATCTTTGAGATGTAACTTTCCACATCTGAAACCTGAATAAATTTTTCTTTTTCCACATTTTTCTTTACCTTGTATGTATGTTCATTCATTTTCTTTAGTTTCTTCCATATCACATCTCAGATTTAGGATTCTCTGACATTCGTCCAATATTACTTGTAGTGTTAGTTTTTGATTCTGTTCACGTTTCATTAGAACTCCAGCACGTATATCCAAAGTAACATTCTCCTTAATTAAAGAGTCAACCACTTTTTTTTCAAGAGAGTCAAAACATTTCCTTCAATAAAGAATTGAACAAATGCTTTCATAAATATGATGAATATTTTTGTCATTACAGCTTCAGTGAGGAAAACAAGGCCAAACAAATACCCTTCACGTATCTTCCATTTGGTGGTGGGCCACGAATCTGTGCTGGAATGCGATTGGCTCAACTTGAATTCAAGATGGCAGTTGTACAAATGCTGAGGAAATTCCGTCTTGTTGCTTGTGACAAAACTGAAGTAAGTATTCTTAATCTCCACTGATCATCTTCAATACAAATACAGTATAATGTTGTACAAAAGTAATATTTTTTAATTCTTTTCTTTATAAAGTGTTTCTGAAAACTACTTTTCTCTGTTAAAATCTTCATTTTACTCTTTCTTTCATTCTTGTTTCTTTGGGTTTTCATTTCCATTTCTTGTCAGACATTAGAAAATAAAAATGATTCCTAGAAAAAAATACAAAAATCTTCAGAATAAAACTGGGGAACTATAAAATTATTTTCAATTTCTTTTTATCATTGCAGAAGAAAATTGAATTTGCAAAAGCAGGGCTGCTTAAGCCGAAAAATGGAGTCTGGATTAAAATTGAACACCGTTGAGATCAAAACATATTTTAATATCACATTGTCTCATAAATTTTAGATATTTTTATATTACTTTAACATTTTGTAATTATGTACAAGTTATATAATAATAAACCACAATTTAAATTCATTTTGTTTGGGTCTCGGTCAAAAGATTTTGAATATTGATTTATTTTTTTTTAAGGCTAGCAAGTAGCCTCTTTTTACGTTGGAAGTTACACAACATAATTTTCTCAACTCTAATCTCTCCCTATTCAATAAATAAAGTAAAGTAAAATATTTATAGGTTCTTTAGCATTGGATATTTATCTTGTCAGGTGCCATTCCTGTTTTTGGCAAACTATCATGTTTATAAAGTAAAATGAATTTAGAATAAACATTTAGTCAAGATACAAGAAAAGCTTATGGCCAGTTCTTTTTCATTTTGTTTTAATTCCTTTTACATATTTTTTTGACAATAATATTTACCATTTTTAAATGTTTATGTTAGAGAGACATAAAAATAAGTTCTTTTTTTCTTTTCAAAGAAAACTATTGAATATTATTGTTAGAAACAGTATTTTCTGTGTCTTTAGAAAGCATCTATTATTTTAATGCAGGGGCAATGTTGTTAGTATAAATAATCTTTTAAATAATACTTGTCTTTCAAATGTTACTGCAGGTTTCTTTAACTAGAGTCTTCATCTATTTATGAAATTTTAAAAAAATAACTGGTTTTACTTTTTGATAAAATCATTTTTTTTTTTTTTTTTTAATAAAATGAATTTATTTTCTCATATTTTTCCATATTTTCCCAGTTGTGGAGCATTAACGAAGTTCTAGGATTTTTTCCCATTCTTTCTAAATGTTCGTTCAAATACTAATTCTTATAATTTTGAATCAAATCATTGCTCACAGCTTTCTAAAATTAGAACTACTTGCAACATTTTCAATTGTTGCAAAGGGAAACATTTAGATGGTCACGAATGACTAATACTCATTTTTATACTTCAGTTATTTTCTTTTCACCTCACCCATCAAAAGCTCCTCTTTCCTGAAAAACAAATGATGAGTAAGAGATTCACTTTCAACTGTATGCTAAAGAAAGTTCTCCACATGTAAATAAGGGTCCAAGAAAATCCCTAATTCATCTTTCTTCCTAATCACCAGCCTGTTAAATCTGGAAAGATTTAATGTTTCATATAATCTACATATATGTCACACACACACACACACACACACACATATATATAAGTTGTATCACCCAAGACGTTACCAGATATTTATATCTGGGAATGTTGAAAATATACATTGAAACATTAGCAAAATAAACTGTATTTTCTTGACTCTTTTATTAAATATTGCTTACCGACAAATCTGAGTTTTTAGTTTTACTTTTTTGAAATGTCTTGTAGAGTTGATTTTTTTGCTTTTGTTTTGTGTATGTATGTGAGAGAGAGAGAGAGAGAGAAAAGCAGTGGGGAAGTTCAGATTCTGAAATCTAAAATCCAGAATGGTAATTCCAAAGCTTATAAGTCGGTCTCCCAAGTCCAAAGTTAAAAATGCTGGTGTGTGTGTGTGGGGTGGGGGGGGGGGTCTAAGAAAGGTTGTGGTTAGTCAAGACTGTTTACATTATTCAGACTGTTGTCCTCATCTTTGTTATTGTCATATTTATGATGTTTTGGCTGTTGTAACCTCCAGCCTTCTTCAGGTGATTGGAATTTTGAAGTAAACCATTTATTTCATCAACTGGGGTTGATAGTTCTAGTTTCACATACCATGCCTCTTCCGGATGTTTCAGTTATCTCCCTTTAACTCAACTCTCCAATTTTTTTTCATTTACCACTGCTGTGGCTATGTATTGAACTCACACCTCTTTAATAAATGTAAATAATGTAGATAATTAAAATACCTCCTCTCAGAAATCTAGACAAATGTAGTCAAGACTGGTAGGCAAATTCAAAAGATGGCCATATTTCCAGACCTTTTGATTTTTTTCTGTTTTGACACGCACCACAAGGAATATAAATTCCTTTTTGAGGTAAAACTTGATCACCTGAAAAGAAGATTTTTCATGCAAATACATGAATGATTGATTTTGTTTTTTTAATAATACTATATCAGCAGGGATACCCGATATTGCTCAAGATTGTGTGGGTCGATTTGGGTGGGGGGGATAACCCCAGAAATTAGTATCACAGAAAAAATAAAAACATATGAAAGAGTAACTGTTTGTGAAGAAAAAACATAATCTCCATAATAAAACAAATCTTATCCCTTCAATTTAATAGAACTTCTCAATCTACAAGTATCAATGCCAATATAAACAGATTTTGGGATGCAACCCTAGACACAACCAACATGGTATAGAAAAGCATGGATGAGTAAGGTGTAGGCCAGCAATCATGTCTTGGCTGAATCACTGTTGCTAAAATCAAATGGCTTGTCTTGAAAATCCTGGTAATAAACACATTCTCCTTTTTGCCTACCCTGGTGAAGAGAGTTGCCTTCCTCACGTTGATGAACAGCTGCTTGACATCAATGGGAGTTTATTGTATCATGTTATAAGATCTAGTTTTCTGAGAAGAAATTAGTTGAAGCCTCTGAAGAGGAACACCAGGCAGCTCAAGGTTTGAACTCGATTAGGCAATGAATAGTGTTACGAGGGAGAATATTTGGACTCAGCTGTCGGACGAGAGACATAAAAATATTCCTGCATCAAGAGGAGTAGCAGCTTTTGCCGAGTCAGGCAGTACGCTGCCAGGCTCGTGGCTGACTTGTTGAACTCTCTGCCTTTAGACAGAGAGGAACCTAGACGAGGCTATGCCAAAGGGCAGTTTCGTCTGGGGAGGTAGACAAACCCCGACTTCGTGCATGAGGGGTCTATGGGGAATTTTTACCTGAGCATACGGACTCAGAATCGTCCCATATAAAATCGGCCTTGTGTCACATCCTGCCTCTGAGGAGGTTTTGGTAAATATCAGTTGCAGTCTTTGCTGAATACAATTAGTCATTCACAGTTAAACATTTTCTCTCCCCTAGTTTCTATTCTACATTATGTTTCCCCTGTACCAAAATGTAATAAACTTGTTAAACCAATTTCGGTTTTCCACTGTTGTTTTTGATAACTCACTCACAACAGTTTGGTGACATGAGGATCGAGGGTTTTTTTTTTTTTAGGAAGTACTAAAAGCAATTTAACTATGAAAAGAATTTGAAAAGCACGCCAGAATTTTAAAAGATACAGTGGATTTTTTTTTTTTCGACTTGAAAAAATAAAAAAATAAAAATTTCCAGTTAGAATGAAGGAATTTAAAACTGTTATGCTGGAACTATTAAAACAGCAATAACAAAGCATGAAACTAATATACAAAATGTGTTTAAACCAACAACAACAACAGCAGGAATACCAAAAAACTAATACTATAAAGAAATGCTAGAAAGCGTTTTTTTTTTTTTTAAAAAGCAGATAACTAAGGAACTGTAATTAATCATTATTCTATTGCAAATTCTATTTGTGAATTCAACTAGAAACCTGAAGAAGGAATAACTTTTTTTCCTCCTATTATAGGCGGCATGAAGACTTATTTCGAAGAGATTGTCTTGGATGGACAGATGAAAGAAAAGTTCAGTTACTGCTACAAATTTAGTAAAGTAAGATAAATAAAATAAAGTTTAGTAACTGTCCTGCCACCGATAAACCACGGGAAAGATTACATGTTGAATTTGCAGGATCACTCAATGAATTTTACTACTTTGTCATAGTTGACAGTTTTACAAGTGCTAAAACATAGGAAACATCGCGAAACTGGAGTGAACCTACCATAGCATCACATGGAATTCTTTGGAAGGCGTCCATAGCTGCAATTCTTATTTCCTCACGGACATCTCGACGAGTGAAACAGCAAGTCAAATGAGGCACAGTCTCATGTGAATGACCAATGTTGCCAATTGCTCAAAGAGCAAAGATGATTCTCCTGGCATCACCATTTTGGGTATTGCAATCGTGGGTGTGATCTATCAGTTTTCTGAGGAGGGTAGTGATTTCGGAATCTTTTCCGTAGTCAGGTCTTGCATTGCAATAATTGCTTGCCAGAGATGACACAGCGAGTAGGGTATTACCAGAGACATCATGTTCGTCTCACAAAGGCTATAAATAAACGTTATTTTTTTGCACAAACTTTTTAGGAGGTTCGGTCTTCCAGAATCCATTGTATCTGACAATGGGACAGTTCACGTCAAAAAATTTTAAAATGTTCTGTGAATCGTTTGCAATTAACCATATAACAACGTCGCCTTTCCACACAAGATCAAATGAATTAGTAGAGAGATTTGTTGATACGCTGAAGAAAAATCCAAAGAAATCTGACGGTAGAGACTTGGAGGAAATAGGAATTAAAAAATTCCTGCAAGTATATCGTATTATGGAATCCTCCATACTTGCCTGTCACCCCCTACGGGAAGATGCACTCTTCCCCAAATTAACCTTTAACCAATCATCATTTCACTTTTCCAAACTCAACTTTCCATTGGTTAAAAGGACATAAAAATGTAGCAAGTTGAGACAAATTCTTTTTTCCCGCGCAGTTGTCTATTTGAAAACCCCAAAATCTATAAAAAAGAATCACTCAACTTGATTCAAGTCAGTCAGACACTGAGTTTTGAGAGATGCCAGCAGACTCCATGCGTGCCAACACACTGACTCAATAATACTACCAGCCTCTCATCAACTCAACACAACTAGCACTACTATTGTCGCGTGAATAAAGTTAACTTACAATTTACTAAAAAAGTGACATTATCACTACGAAATAGTAATTGCACATTTAATCAACTTTAGCATATCAGTCAAAGGCACACAACTCTTCATAACTTGAATCAACACTTATAATCGTCACACACATACACACTATTATTTGAACTCATATAATTGACATTTTACCTTGCAGAAATCAAACTGTTTTAATTTCACAAACAAACTTAAACCATCAACATTCACTCACAAAATCTCTGCATGGACACTCTTTGCAATCTTA